GAAACGACTTTAATAAATAACATACTGCACCTTTAAAGAGTGCCAAAACAACATTGTTTGAATTTCACAATAAAAATTGACAGACAAGCTTTTCGCGACTACAGGATAACAGGCGCACTACAAATGTTTAGCGAGGTTTTGTTCATGCATCAACAATAGCACAGACTAAAAGATTTTAGATTTAAAAATCCATATCATTACGATTAAAATTGAGAAATTAATATTGTCAAACCAGAGCTAGTATCCACACAGCTGACATGTTTAAATTTTGTAGCTTATCCACGTTGTGTGCATGGAATAGACGCTGAACACACCATTGGAGAACCGCTAATTAAACGTCTGTTACACCCACTGATTTCGGCCCTCTAAAACCACTTCGGATCGAAACCGAAAAAAGCTCTTTCGTCCGGAAATTTTCAGTATCTGAAATGTCGGTGCATCCCTATCCACCTTATTCCTGACGACCTTACTGCGTTTTGAATTATGGGTGGCACTTCCGGTTTGGGGAACTTCCATTCAAAAAAGCTAAAACGAATCATTTCAAATCATAAGGTTTCCCTACAAATAAAGCTGATCCGTCAGTTTGACTGGATGAGCTATCAATTTTCCTTCATGATTTATTTTCAGACATCATGAGAATAACGTTATACTTGGTATTTTAACGTGCCATTTTATAACAAGAATATCTATGGCAAGAGCTCTTTTCAGTCGCTGCTTTCTTTTCCTCATGATGATTTTTTTTTTTTCTTTGCAATCCGCTGTAAAAGTATGAAAAAGGACAACATATACGGCACATTTGTGGTCTGTTCTCCCGAATTTAATTTACGATATTCCATTAATAATTCACTGGAATGCACGAAGAATCTCTTGTTATTCTCCTCAAATCCTCACATCTCTTTTTAGGTTTGTTTTCACAGGTAAATGCAATTTATAATCTGTCAAAATGACGGACATCCCTTTGATATAGTGTTGCGTAATGCTGAAGTTAATGAACATTTTTGATTAAAGTAACACTATGTAGTTTTTCAACCTTCATAATATATTTCCAAGACCCTTGTGATGGTACATCGACTTAAAATAAGTTAAATGACACGTCTGCCATAGCCTGACGTGGTCTGTATCGCTTTTACTCGCACTATGTAACTTCGGGTTTCGGGTAGGAACCCAAGCACAAAAAGAACTACAAAATTCGACTGCTTTAAAGCATACGTCACTTCCCCCACCACTTCCTCAAATTGTCTGTGGCCATTGCAGACATCCCAAGTCTCCCAGGAGTCTCCCGCATATTGATAGCATCTCCCTGATGCCCGAAAATTAGTTCAAATCTGCCGGAATCTAGAGCGCGCATGCGAGACAGAACATACTGCGCGCATAACACACATAGCGCGAGCACGGCAGAGAGGGAGAGAGCGAGAGACCTTGCGAGTGTGCCTCGTGAAAGCTAGTCAACCCGCCACCCCCCGTCAACAATCCAGTCACCAAGATATACCTCCCTGAAATGACTTCTTGCAGGTTGGGATGTCTGCCATTGTTGATTCCAAAGCCGGTGCTGGATAAACAGCGAGCGTGCGCGTGCGACAGTAGGCTGCGGTAGGCTAAATTATTTACGACAGCGGTAATGGACAATTCTGCTTCCAACCTGTAGGGCGACCGCAGAGGAAAAGTTACTTGGTGTTACTTTGTACAAGGCTTGTTATACAATACAGATATATTTTTGCCTACTACAGTGATATTTAACCAAAGACTCGCGCTTTTGGGGCTATTTTTGGTCTGTTGAAAGTACCTTGTTGATTCTTTTAAACTTTTCAATTTCATTTTAATATTCGATGGTTGAAGGGTGAGTCGATTAATGTCATCTCATTGTGACACTTTTTTATCGTATTGCGTTCATAGAGCGAGCCTTTCACTGATTGTTTACTATTATTGTTTACAGCTTAACGGAAGTTACACCCATAATTCGCGCAAAGCGTCATGGGGCGTAGGAATAAGGTGGATAGTGTATTGCTTAAAATGAGCAAAACTTGGACTAAAATACACATTTAAAATTTACAGTCTTTTGGAAAAAACAGATCAAATTACTGATGACTCATCCTGTACTCATGTGTGTGTCCAAATTTTTGTCCAATCACATGCTCTCCAGAATGAAATTGTTCCTTACCTTTACACCACCTGACATAGAAATGGCAAATTTTGGTGCACCGCAGTACCAAAAGTCTCACCCGATAATACGAAATATACATACAGTGCATCGGTCACTATATTGGTCAATAAATGTGTTCACATGCGCCAGCTGTCAATACCTGATTGGCACACCTAGATTTTCGCCCATCAATTTACATATACAACAACCCTGATGGGTCCGATCAGGGCTACGTCTCTCAAAAACATTCTACGCCCAAGTAGATCGAAGACACCATTGGTGCAAATGGCTTATGATGCTTTTAGGGAACTCAGCCCAGTTCAGCAGAAAAACTAGCTTTCAAAGTCACCACGAAATCAAATTGGACAATAAAATAAATAAATAAATATTGCAGTTTTTTTTTTATAAATGATTTGAAACGTCTTTGTGTATTTTAATTAATGTGCCCTTGTAATTTTTAATCAAAGCAACATCTCTTCTCTTCTCTGATGACGCGTTTACTGGCGCGAGGGCGGGACAACCTGTCACTCACATGAGATCTACCAATAGCAAACCACAACCATCCAATCAATTCCTAATGGACAAAATCAAGTCCCGCCCTAAAAAAATGTTCTCATTCGAGAAGCAGTTACACTTGGATATGCAACATCACAATAAGGATGAAAAGATGATAGCAACTTCCGTTTCATGCCGACTTTAAGGGTTTACATGCCAATTAATAAGTGGATAATGCAAAGTTTTCTTTGCACTTGATGTTAAAACATAATAACACACATTTTGTAACCTGAGAAATAAAAATAAGCATCTAGTAATTATTATCAGCCATAATTTCTACATCAGTGCATCCCTAAGTGCAACAGCAACGGTTTATAAACACTGAACAGTTAACAATTTTTTTTTTTTAAATCATAGGTATAGCCCACTCACATGTAAATGCACTTCTAGAAACAACTTGGCCATATTTCAAGGTTTCAAGCATGAGCCAAGCATGAGTAATCAGCAGTTCCTATTGGACCGTGTGGTACTTGTGGACGAGAGGCTAAAAATGAAGAGTTTAGCACTACATGAATGTTGCAGCTCCAAGCTAATTAACATAGAGCTCTGTTAAAATCTTCATAATGATGCTAAAACAAATAAAGCGACAATCTTGTAACCTTGAAGTCAATCTGAAACAGCATTTCCAAACCTTTTTATCTTCACAACATGACATATTTCCAAGGGAAACAGGATATATTCAACAAAGAAACCATGTAGGTTGGGACTTTTTATTTATTATTTAAATTTGGTTTTGTTTATTTTATCCACCAGGAGTTGAAGTGTTCACGGAGAATTCAATTCAACTGCCATTGGTCGAAAAAACAAATAGCCCCAACCCAAACTGACGCTTTTGCCTCAGCCAATGTTGCAGTCCAAAACACAAAGAAATGTGATAGTCCTACAAAGCCACAGTGTTTACTCTTTTCAGGAGAATCGACTTAAAGTTTTAGTCTGTCTTTAGTCTTTACATATTAAGTTGTGGGGTTTTTTTTCTGTTAAAATACAACAACAGCTCTATAGCATTAGTTATCAGAAACCACTGTAAATAGCTCAGCTGAAAATACAGGAAGTGCAGGCTGACCAGTCAATGACCCCTAAAACAGAACTCAGCTGTCTGGGATTCTCACAAAGAGCGATCAGCGAGAAAATCGACACAGTTGGAACGGGAGGGTACGAATAAATTAAAAAAGAACAAACACTGGGCTGTTAGGGCAGCTTGAGCAATCTGCTACTGAATGTCAACTAGTGGACGGCCGTTTGAGTGAGCAGGGTGCTATATCCTATATCCAGATATATTTATCTAAGAAATATCAGCAAACTCATATTAGGTCACCACAATATTTACACCCCACTGCTGGTGGGGATGGAATTATTCTGGCTGATGTCAGCAGGGTCATGGCAAAATTATGTATTAAAAACACATTTCTAAGGTTGCAGAAAGAGTGATGCTAATCAAAAATAAAGTTAATATAATACATAACAATAATATTAAGAATACATTATCAATACACCATAATATAATAGTATTGTTTCATAATTTATTATTTTTCCCATTATTCTTTATTTATTATTATTAAACTGATATATGCTAGGTGGTCAGTAAAGCATTCACCCTTCAGTAGTGACTATATTCACAATATTATACTTTCTTGCTTAATTATTATTTTTTTATTGAAAAAATCTATTAATTATCATTGTATTATATAATATAAAACTATATTAAATATGTATATATTGCCCAAATATTAAATGTAATTATATATGAAACTATCTCCTCTAAAGCGACCTGCGTTCAAAAAAGGCGCAATATAAACAACTTTTAATATTATTACTGTTGTTGTTATTTTTAAGGTAATATATGAAAATATTTTCTTCTAATTGTATTATCAATTTTAAGATTGTTAAACAATATTGATATTAAAATATGAATATTTAATGTAATACAAAATTAATTCCATACTTTGGATGTCTGACAGCTGTGTGGGTTTTTTGCCAAAAGGATTCTGTTCAATAATGGCTCAATAAGGGAGGGGACGGATGGACAATAGGCGACTTTCAATAACACATCAACCGCAGAGAAGAAAAATATAACGGAATAATTCAGCGCTGTAACGTTTTTAAAAGGATTCGTGCTGGTTAGGGATGGATGGATGGATGGATGCCGGAGAGGAAATCAATAATCATAGTCACATCCAAATGCAAATAATAAGTGATGCTCGTTTGTGGTTATTTATGCTAAACAGCCCATCATTCCGTCCTGATTCAAAGCACCAGCTGTAATAAAGTCATATTAGGCTATCATATTATCGCAGATTTCTCTTACCTCTGTTGCAGTCGCAACTTCACCCCTCGAAGATAGAAACGTGGCAGGAGATCTAGTCGTATCCGAATGACTTCATCTCGGATCGAGAACGGCTCGGGTTGGGTTTGATTGGGTTCCTAACACTTCAACAACCGTCAATTATGTAGGCTATTACATGGAATGGAACTGTGAGACGCTCGCGTTTGTCCCGAAACAAAGTAACACTCGCGCCTTATGCCGTCTCAAAATGTGGAAAGGCCGCTGGAAACGCTGATTTCCAAACGAGATACAGTTGGAAGTTGAAAGTTAACCGCGCACACCTGCATCCTCAAGAGATAGAAGATGGTGGAGAGATAAAATAGCGGTCCATAGTGTGCCATAACCGCTGGCGTACAGCTGTATTCTGGGAGCGCGGACGGAAGGAAATGCCTTTGGAGGAAAGGAGGCGCTTAACCAGCCAGAGTGCTGGATCTAACCCTCATGAAGCCTGACGTCATTCTGCACAGCAGAACCTTTCACATTCGTGTTCTGCTTCACTTCAGTATTTAAGTTTTTAAGAAAAGCATATTCAGATCTGTCCATACAACTTTTCTATTGAGGTTGAAGCTATTCAATATTTTATCATGGCTCTTTTATAAAAATGCATAAAATTAACATGACATCAACAAAAAAATTCAAAATGGGCATGAAAATACATGTTTTACAAAACAGTAAAGATGGGATGTAAAAGGATGCATGTTTTATTACTTTAATAAATTATTGCATGCTTTTGATATTCAGACAACTTTATTCTGAATGAATATGGTATTGTGTTTATTATGTATAGAGAAATATTTGCAATTGCAAGAAGCTTCACGGACAATATTTATGTATAACACAATACAATATTTATGAGGTTTCATTAAAATTGTATTCATTCATTTTCCCCATTGTTTTTTATTTAAATAGTAAAGTAAAAATGGAGTATGGACAATTTTACATAATCTGATAAACTGAACAACTGTTATTATGAATACAGTTTAGGATGGATGGATGGATTTTGATTTTTTTTTCTGGAACTAAAGTAGTGGTTGATTTATCAGCATTAATAATCACTCAAAATCAAACTGAAAAGGTATCAATATTTGTAGCATAATAATGCATAATTCAGGAAGTCAACAGGAAATGGTCAAGCTGAGTTTCCTGGTGACTGTAAAACCCAGTGTGTAAAAATGTCTGTTTGATATTTCTGATTACCTTACTCATATGTGTAATGACAGGAAAAGTGCTTGGCTGCCCTCTAGCGACGTGCAATGAATGTGCAAGAAACATGCACGGAGCACTTTGTTAAAGGACCAGAGATGTTAATGATGTCAATGTTAAATCATGTCTATGTGTAAAGAGATGTTTATTTAATGTGAGGTGATAACAGTCTCAGACAGTAAAAAAAAAAAAAAAAAACATCCAAATCTATACAAAAGTAACAAAGAAAAAAATGCCAAACAAAAACTGTACAAAACCAATAAGGATACGAAATAAAGTTATAAATATATACACGCAAACTTCAATAATAAGAAAAAGAAGTAGGCTAAAGAAGTTAGTAAAGAATTTCTCACGGCACCACAACTGCACGCTCGCTTGCCAGGTCAACTGACAACCACATTGGTTTGGGGCTCCCATTTAAAGCCCAAGCTCCTCCCCTTTGACTAAACCATCTTCAGCTGGTATGTACATTATTTACAATAAGGCATAAATATATACATATAACAACATCCACACCATATATATATATATATATATGTATATATATATATGCACTATAACATAAATATAAATATACAAAAATAGTAAAAAATAAACAGAACAATAACTTAAAATTTCTGACATCCACTTATAAGACAAACAATAGACTTGTCACTGCGTGGCGCTCGAGTTTTGCCGGCCGATGGAGAACACAACGCGGAAGATCGACTCTGCGTTCGAAATCGAATACATCACTATGGTAAGTGAAAAACATTATGCCAACAGAGATGTATGACCGAATACATAGTATTATTCCCCGGATGAAAAGTCCCAGAATGACCTACTACTTCCGCCGAGATTCTGAAATGTGCATACCATAGACAGTAAAAGAAATGGACACAGCGACCCCATAGATTTCAATGGAGAAAAGTGAAGTCAATTAGAAGCACTTCCTGATGGCCGAGTGAACTGCGCAGGCTCAAACTGAGCTGGACGACGGAGATGTGACGTGAGCAAACTGTCTGACAGTTGTAAGTCTTCTAGTAGCTGTGCCAAGAGGAATCTGAATCATTCCCTTCCGAATCTTGCAGAGACTGAGAGCATGAGTAGGAGCTGTCCATGATCTCGCAGCAGGAGCAACTTTATGACTCTATATGAGCTTCTCCCTTGACTTTATGCCTCCACGTCCCCCGATTGCCTGCGAGCTTCTCCTCCTGTCTATACGGTAATTTCTCTACTGTGCGACAGAGAGCTTTTTCCCGCCGAGACTGTCCTGCCTGGGTCTCGTCCCCCAGGGCCTTCACCGCTGAGTCCGGTGGTCCCGCGTCCGGTGGTCCTGAGTCCGGTGGTCCTGAGTCCGGTTGTCCCGAGACGGAGGAGGAGGAGGATAAAGGCCTCCTCAACGACTTGTCCGGTGGCTCCTAACCCAGAGACCATCGCGGAGGTGACTGCCATCCCTGACGTGCCACCCAGGCGTCTTGCTCTGCCCGCACCGCCCAGGTGCCTTGCTCTGCCCGCGCTGCCCAGGCGCCTTGCTCTGTCCGCGCCGCCCAGGCGCCCTGCTCTGCCGACCCCGCTTAAGCTGCTCGCCCTACTGGCGCCACCCCAGCGACCTGGCACGTCTGCCGATCCAGAGACTGTTCACGTCCCGTCTGCCCAGCCAGAGACTGTTCACGTCACGCCCGCCGACCCTGTGCTTCACGTCAGCCACGCCGAGCCAGAGACTGTTCCTGAGTCGGTGTCTGTTCCTGTTCCTGAGCCGGTGTCTGTTCCAGCCTGTGTCCTCGTGGCTGCCCCCAAGAACATTTTTTTTTTGGGGGGGGGGGGGGGGGGGGGGGGGGGGGGGGGAATCTTCCCGAAGGGTCTTCACCGCTTCACTTAAGATACAAAGTAATGAAGCCTTTTATATATTGTCGTGTTTCTTTAGAAATAAATTATGGGCAAATGGAGTATTTGGACGCCTCAGATGTAAAGTTATTCGCTGTCAAAGTGACGCCAAAATGAATGGGAGTCAATGGAATGCTAACAGCAGGTGATGGTCTGCTACAATGGCGGCCCCCAAGGGAAGCTTCAGTTTCCGGCTGATGGATTACCCCCTTGGTGCATACGATGGACAATTTACTATCCCATGAGGCCATGGAGGTGAAGCGACGCAACTGATGCTGGTTGGTCTGACAATGACAACATGGTGGAGTACGTCCAGGTTACATAAAAACTACACACATTCATACTATATAGCATGTACTGTAGTCTCAGCCTCAGACCTTGTTGGCTGAACGTTTGATGCATATTCTTTAACTGTCCGTCTGGAAACAAATGCCGCGAAGCCAAAACCCCTCATGGAAAAAGAACGCCGTCGTGTTTACAACTGTGACACTGAACGCTTACCAGGATCAACTAAACGCTGGATATTCAAAAGTATGTGAAGTTTGCGGCTCCATTGTTGCGGTAAACTTGCACGTTCTTGAATGAATAATTTAGAAGATGCACGCCGGTCTGTTATTGTAGGGACATCAACATTAGATTTCCACGCCCCTAAACATGCAGCGGAACAAAACGAACTGTGATTGTAAGCATTAGTGGAACTGAAGGTGTGAGAATAAATACGAAACCCACGTGATCGTTGTCATGCAGTGAATACGGCCAATTGTGAAACAGCTGTGTCGTCATCAGAGCTCGTGAGCCGCTCTGGAGAAGCTTCGCTGGCTGAGTCCTCTGGCTGATCTCGATTCGCTCTCGGCGTACTTTGATGGCATACATCTTAGTCATGTGGCGTTGGCGCTGTCTCAAGTCGGACACAATTTCTAACCGGCATCCACTGCTTCAAGTCAGCCGCCGATCGGTCTGTGCAGAGCTGCATGAAGTCGAACAAGCCTGTAGCCACTGGAGATGGAGAACCATGTAGAGCTGATAAGCCGAAGAGCCCACGCAAACTGCTGGCACTGGAGACCAACGTGGAGCTGCAGCGACGAGCATTCGAGGTGGAACCAGGAAGCCTGAAGACTGAGGCGGAGGGAATGAGGACGCATGTGGAGCCGGGAGGAAACACGGAGCTGAAGGTGCAGGCAGAATGATTTGTGCAGCATCAGATTTGAACTTTTTCTCCCTCATTTACTGTTCGTGGCTGTTTTTGCCCCATTGACTTCCATTATAACCACATTTTTTGATTGCAAAGCCATGACACCATATAATCATGCATTTTTGATTGTTGGTGGTTTTCCCTGTTGGGAAGAGGTAAAATTTGTAATTTTTACTGTTGATAACCAGGTGGCACCATTAACCCTTTAGATAAGCCTATGCAAAAAAAAAAGCTTAGTTTCTGGCATTTACATGGAGTTATATATATATCAGAGCGGCTCACGAGCTCTGATGACGACACAGCTGTTTCACAATTGGCCGTATTCACTGCATGACAACGATCACGTGGGTTTCGTATTTATTCTCACACCTTGAGAGAGAGAGAGAGAGAGAGAGAGAGAGAGAGAGAGAGAGAGAGAGAGAGAGAGAGAGAGAGAGAGAGAGAGAGAGAGAGAGAGAGAGAGAGAGAGAGAGAGAGAGAGAGAGAGAGAGAGAGAGAGAGAGAGAGAGAGAGAGAGAGAGAGAGAGAGAGAGAGAGAGAGAGAGAGGAGAGAGAGAGAGAGAGAGAGAGAGAGAGAGAGAGAGAGAATTGAAAAATTACTTTATTTCACAATCATCTTAATACACACAATTTAAACAGCTAACAACAGAAAACAAAATTACGGGAAAAAAATTAAATCATCTTCAAAAATGGTACAAAAAACTCCCTTACAACACCAAATCTTCTCAAAAGTAAACAAATCATTCATAGTTTTATAAAATTTGTAATCAATCAATACTCTTGATTTCAACAATGTTAAAAAAGTCTCAATGATGTTTTGACCAGGTTTCTGTTCAAGTTTATCCCTTCTGCTAATATATATAGCCATTTTTGCTTCACCAATTATAAAATTCAGTAACTGACAAATGTATTTCTTTTTTTGACTATATTTAAAACCCAAAATAAATACAGTTTCCGTAAACGATTCATTAAAACCACAAAAACATTTTTATAAAAACTCAAACAAAGATATCAATCTAACACATTGTACAAAAGCATGAAAAATTGTTTCTTTTTGCAAACAAAAGGGACAAGCATCATTAACTTCCACATTTAAAAGAGAAACAAAAGAATTAACAGCTAAAATACCATGAAGAATTGTCCATT